AAAAATAAAATCGGTCAACATTCTGAGAAGCTCAACATACAAAGTCGCTTGCTTTTTCTAAGGCAGACTGCTATGCTATTGAACTATATGTTTATGATACCTGAACATGTAGGGTGGTTTCCAGTCCACGCTCCTCCCTGGCATGTCCTAGATGAGGATTTTATGAGAGTATATCCAGCATTGCAGGTGAACGTGATTGTACTTCCCTCGTTGTAATTGGACGAAGACTTTGTACCATAAATTGGTGCACCGATCTCTTTACAGTTGTTTGCTAAATTCAAGGTAAATCAATAACAGAACGTATTAACAGGTTTAACGCTAGTTTTGGAACAACAAGTAAAATAGGCGTTTATCTCAGTGGCTCTCGTTTTGTATTTGTTAACACAACCCGTGAGACAGATAAGTGACATTGTACACATACAACAACTACAACAACAGCATCTTTATTTTATCAATACAAATACAAATATTATTTCATTTTTAGTGTATTTAATATGTGTAGTATATTTCAGATAAAATAACTGTTGTAATCTTGTTTGAATGTGACTGGTGCCTGGAGGCTAAATGAACCGTTAGGTTTTCGAGTTAGCCTCCAGCCTTCTTATGTCTAGTTGTAAGATAGGAGAGATGAATGAAGACTTTTACACTGAGTGTAGTTTAAGGAAGAACAAAAACAAAAAAGCAAAAATGACTAAATCGTGTGCACGTATTGATCTGACAGTAAACTATTGTGTTATTGGTTTTGAAAAAGCAAATACGCTAAGCTCTTTTAAATGGGTTGGACGTTCTTTCCAAAGATGCCTTTAATTAAATCGTCTGTTTAATTTTCGTATATTTGTCCTTATGCGTGGTTGGGTACAGTGAGTAACCTATGCATATCCTATCTATTCTTACCAGTGTCACAAGTCCTTCCTGAATAGCCGCTTGCACATACACACAGATAGTCGTTATATCGGTCAACACAAGTTCCTTCCTGACAAGGTGCAGTGCTACATTCGTTCGTGTTATCGGCAGGTGCGACGATGGCTATGGAGGAAGTAGACACTTAAAATAAAAGATTTCTTTTAAAACAATGTTGAAGCTCTTTTTTAGGAGGGGAGGGGCCTGTCTGAGTACTGTACTACTGTTTATACCGGTTGCAAAAATTAACGATTTTTCTACTCGATGTACCGTTTTATCTGATCTTAATCTCGCATATCTCATTAATTTTCCCCTGAAATATCCTGTATTCCGTTAATTTTTTACCTTAATATACCTTTGACTTCTGGCCTTTGTTGCTGCCTTACATGCTAGCAGGCATAAGGGCAGTAAGTAAGTAATCCTGTAACCAGAAAACTTCTAATAGGACTTCAATGTTCGGGCCTTTAGACAAATAACTTTGGCTTTGTTTGTGTCGAACAGTTTACAAAGTTACTTACTCTGTGGGCAACCATATACTTCTACTCTCATTGAAATGTGTCCATTCCATTCCTGTGGTCTAAACCTTAGATACATGGCTTCAAACACTCTGACTTCATTTCGTACTACCGTGTCCTGGTCAGTGTTACCAGTGAGAGTCTGTATAATATTAAAATGATAATGTTACGTTGTGTAAACGACGTAGTACATTTAATGCTGATAAAAGTAATTTTGTGACGTTTTCAGTAACTAACATATCCTCATTTTTACTTCGACCAAACACTGGCGCTCAAGACGTCCACTTTTCAACGTCTGCAGCAATACTAATTTATGTCTAAGTTGACGTTGGAGCACTTTCCATTTCAGTGTCGAAAATTTATTAGTTTTGCACTAGTACCACGCTACACGATTGGATTAAAAGACTCGCGCGATTTTTCATTCAGTCAGAACTAAAACGAAAACCAATTGTCACTCACACAGTCACTCACACAGGTTTTCCGGCGCTTCGCGTTTACTTTGAGTTTTGGTTAGTTCACTGGATTGTACGTGTTCTTTGTGATTGGCCAGAGTGATTACTTTGGTTTTGGTTTTACGACGCTCACCTTAGGACCGCTTGATCAAGTCAGTGATAATTAATTAGGTAATTGACTTGGACGCTGACGTAGCACAACAGTTTCCTTTTAAATCACATGCAATTTCAAGTATCTTTTTCCTTTGTAAATCATCATTAAAAGGATTTTGAAAGTACATCTTACGTCTGGATAGTAAGCCCAAGTTGATCCGTCAGTACTGTATTCCAGTTTGTAGCTCTTCACCCATTGAGCATCGTCTGCTCTGCCTTGAGTGGCTGTACCAGCAATCTGGAAAATCTGGCCAAACTTGATTTGGAGATACTGGTTCTGATCGTTAGACAATGCAGACCAACCTCCGATCTGAGTGGTGACCCCCTGAGAAGTTATCTGAGCTTGAAAATTCAGGCGACCTCCTAGTGGCGCGTGCTGGGAACTGTATTGACTTGATGCTGTCATATCAGCGTCAGGAATGCGCTTGCTTGTCGAGACTCCAAGGCTTTTAAGACAGTCTACAAGGTAATAATCATAAGGAAGGTGGAGAGAAAACAAGAAATTTAAAATTATTCTTGACCTATCGCTTCTCGGTTCACCATTTTACTACGCTATTTTTCAAATATTCATTTCATTCATCGTGAATAATAGTGAAATATTCATTTCATCTATTCAGGTCTACGAGGCACTTGTCTTTGGACGACTGCCTATTACTGCTTTTTATCAAACCAGCCCTACTTGTCTAACACCAAATGCTTAAGCCAGTTTAGTCGAAAACGACCATTTAGCATAAATCAGTCAATCAGCCAATCAATTTAGTAGCGTCAAAATGTGAGTGGTGTTGTCCTCTATATCTGAGTCTGCTCATGTATAAAGCGATACACAATAAGTAAGAGTAAATAACCAAAATTAAAGAAGGCATCAGTTACAGTGCCATTTTTAACCACCAAACGTTAGACCAATAACAGCATACGTTCACACCTGAAACTACCTGCCTGTCGGGAACATAATATATTAATTAGCTAGGCATGTTTTACTTACTCAGCTCGTAGTAATTGTAGCTTGATGAACTTGTCAGATCACTGTCAATCGTTGATTTGCTGCTCAAGTAACATGTGTTAGTTGAGTTATCAAAGTCAAAAGACCTGCAGATGAAAGAAGCTTCCGACGAGCAAGATGACGCACAAGCTTCTGGGGACGAGTTATCCACCGTTTTGTCATCGTTTCCAGATATGTAAGACTTGTAAGTCAGGGAGTATTTCCTCTGCTCGGCGGCAACTGAAAGAGATTGAAAGCAAACGACGGCTTTGCATTATCGTTCTCTTGAAGCTTGCTATTGGCTATTGGCTACGTATTTGAGTAAAGGCACAGGGTCCCTTTCTAACCAGGCATACAACTGGATCAACACCAGTGAATTGTTGTCGATACCTAATGACAAGAATATCATTCCATAAGCGAATAAGGATCCTCCTTATTGGGTCACTTCTATTCTATATCATTATAAATCTACTAGCGTGCTATCACAAATGCCGTTCGTTGATTGGCTACACTACTCACTATCTATTCTGTTGTAGATAATGAGTAGCGTGGCACCGTGCTGTTGTTATCAAAATGACGGTCGATTTTTTNGAGTGGTGACCCCCTGAGAAGTTATCTGAGCTTGAAAATTCAGGCGACCTCCTAGTGGCGCGTGCTGGGAGCTGTATTGACTTGATGCTGTCATATCAGCGTCAGGAATACGCTTGCTTGTCGAGACTCCAAGGCTTTTAAGACAGTCTACACGGTAATAATCATAAGGAAGGTGGAGAGAAAACAAGTAATTCAAAATTATTCTTGACCTATCACTTCTCGGTTCACCATTTTACTACGCCATTTTTCAAATATTCATTCCATTCATCATGAATAATAGTGAAATATTCATTTCATCTATTCAGGTCTATTAACGAAGCACTTGCCTTTGGACGACTGGCTATTACTGCTTTTTATCAGACCAACCCTACTTGTCTAGCATCAAAGGCTTAAGCCAGTTTAGTCAAAAACGACCATTTAGCATAAATCAGTCAATCAGCCAATCAATTTAGTAGTGTCAAAATGTGGGTGATGTTGTCCTCTATATCTGAGTCAGATACTCATGTATAAAGCGATACACAATAAGTAAGAGTAAATAACCAAAATTAAAGAAGGCTCAGTTACAGTGCCATGTTTTAACCACCAAACGTTAGACCAATAACAGCATACGTTAACACCTGAAACTACCTGCCTGTCGGGAACATAATGCATTAATTAGCTATAGGTATGTTTTACTAACTCAGCTCGTAGTAATTATAGCTTGATGAACTTGTCAGATCACTGTCAATCGTTGATTTGCTGCTCAAGTAACATGTGTTGGTTGAGTTATCAAAATCAAAAGACCTGCAGATGAAAGAAGCTTCCGACGAGCATGATGACGCGCAGGCTTCCGGGGACGAGTTATCCACCGTTTTGGCATCGTTTCCAGATATGTAGGACTTGTAAGTCAGGGAGTATTTCCTCTGCTCGGCGGCAACTGAAAGAGATTGAAAGCAAGCGACGGCTTTGCATTATTGTTCTCTTGAAGCTTGCTGTTGGCTTTGGCTACGTATTTGAGCAAAGGCACAGGGTCCCTTTCTAACCAGGCATACAACTGGATCAACACCAGTGAATTGTTGTCGATGCCTAATGACAAGAATATCATTCCATAAGCGAATAGGGATCCTCCTTATTGGGTCACTTCTATTCTATATCATTATAAATCTACTAGAATGTTATCACAAATGCCGTTCGCTGATTGGATACGCTACTCACTATCTATTCTGTTGTAGATAATGAGTAGCGTGGCACCGTGCTGTTGTTATCAAAATGACGGTCGATTTTTTGTTTTTTCGAAGTATCTGTCTGTGAAGAGGATTTAGATTAAGTTTTGAACGACTAATAGATTTACGCCAAAACAATTAGATTATTCGCTCTCGACTTCTTTGCGCGATAGAAATCTCCAGCTCATAATCCAAACCTGTATCTTATCAAGCGGTGAAACTAAGCAAATTTAGATAACCATGCAGTATCCCATGTCTCACGTTTGCCAAAAAGGCGTTCTTTACGCAGTTAGCTAAATACTGTGTTCGCATTCATTAAATACGAACTGTACCAGGTAAATAAAAGGCACTCACAGTCACACGCGTACGATTTGTCCGTTAAGTGGTATATTCCAAAGAGCCTCTCTCTAAAGTCGCTCCAGGCTGCTACGTTTCCCTTTACATGATCGCAACTATATACCAAGTTATAAATGTCGTTAGCAGACAGCATGTAGTCAAAGATGTTCAGCTGACTAATATCGCCGATAAAGTTTTCTTGAGTGTTAAATCCACCACCCAGTTCGTCTTGCTCTTGGCCAAGGATCATAACGCCATCGCCAGAAATAACTTCACCTTGTTGAAAAGCCTGAGAGGAGCTTTTTATTTCAACACCATCTTTGTAGGAATACCATGTTCCTCCCGCGCTCTCCCACGTAACTGCCACGTGATGCCACTGACCATCATTTACTTTCAGTCCCGTGAAGACAGTTTTATTATTTACAAATAGATTGAAGCTGGAATAGTCTTGTAAAGCTAATGCGTTGTCCTGCACAATATCACCCACTTGAGTTGCGTAGGAGATCACTGTTCCGGGGTTGCGGTCGCTGGTACGCATCCAAAAAGCGATGGTTAGTGCGTTAAGGTCCGAAATTGGCTTCTTAATCTTGGAATACGACTTGGCCGCTCTGACTTGAAACGACAAATCGTAGTCAGATGAAAGCTCTGCAAGAGAAGTAATGAAAATGGTCAATTGTTGGGCAATCATACAATGGAGTGACGTGTTCTCGATGGAGCATCAACAATACTCGCGTCATTGACGTTACGTGTGTGAAAACAGGAACTAAATGGCGGAGGAATCAGTTCCGTGTACTTCCGAGTGCCTTATATTTTGAAATTGTAGTAAGGTAAGC